GGTCTTAAGAATAAGGACATGTCTTTGTTTTTGAGAAATCTTGCCTATTTTGTTTTTTTAAAAATTATTTTGAAATATTGACTGTATAAATACACCACCACCCTTGTACCCAGCAGACAATTTAGGCAATAAGACCATTGGCAAAGTTCTCTAGAAGACATTTGTAAATCATTGTAGATCCTCTTCCCTTCCTCCCTAACTCAGTTATTTTGAACACCCAACTTAGTTCCTTTTGCCAGCTTTCTCCTCTTGTCTAATTTAAATCCTTGCTGTAATTCAACTCCATCTATCTTGGAAGTAGGAAGTAGTGGATTGTGATCTGAGAATGTCCCCTTTCAGATATATTTCCTATTTGGTTCTTCCTACCTAGGACTGATTCTTCCAGAACCTTTCTCGTCTTTCTGCCCCTGTACCCAGGGATCCCTCTGAGGACTGGTTGAGAAATGAAGTGATAGTATGGTGTTCCATAGGCTCCTTTTATAACTTTTCTTAATCCTTTGCTTTCTATTCACCTCTTTGGGTTCTCTTTTTAGAGCTGATATTAATTTGGTAAGGTATTGTTCCTTACCTTTGTATTTACCTTGTGAGAAGTCCTTTCACACCAACCTTATTTAATCCTTTTGATAGTCTGGGAATGAGGTGGGTCAGATATAATCATTTAGTGGGTGACAGAACAGAGGCACAGGGTATGTGTTTTGTTTAGGATCACACAACCAGATAGTGTTAGAGCCAAATCCAGATCTTTGGTGGCTCCCAGCCCAAACTCTGCCCATATTACCTCCTCTCCCCACCAAGCCATTGGTATCTGGAACGTAGGAGTCAAATGAAAAGTTCCGGAATTCTCCAGCTGGTCCTGGTGGTCAGCAGGTCATTCTGGCTTGCTTTTGCACATTTTTTCCTCATTGAAGCTATGGAAAGTGTCAGGTGCCTGGGACAGGTATTCTGAGACTCCACTAACATGATTCTCACAGTGCCTTTTCCTTTCAGACAAGTAAGCAGTTGGCCGCAGCATTCCAAGAGGAGTTCACAGTGCGAGAGGACCTGATGGGACTGGCAATTGGGACTCATGGTGCCAACATCCAGCAGGCCCGAAAAGTACCTGGGGTGACTGCCATTGAGTTGGGTGAAGAGACCTGCACTTTCCGCATCTATGGGGAGGTCAGCAAAAGATATCTATCATCCAGGTCCCTTAGGGGATAGAAGGAAGAGGGGCTGAAAGAAAAAGGAAACCTGAGTCATTTTGACCCTCCCTCCCTGACTTTGGTGGCGACATTTTCCCAAAGACCGTGAGTGGCAGGAAGATCATTGTTTGAAATCCAGGTCCTCTGTTGTAGTAACGATTTCCCAATCTTCTCTTAGACTCCTGAGGCATGCCGACAGGCCCGAAGCTACCTTGAGTTTTCTGAGGACTCTGTGCAGGTGCCCAGGAACCTGGTTGGTGAGTTGGGGGTGTATACGTATAAAAGAGAATACATTTGAGGTCCAGATGTGAGATTCTCTGAAGTGATCTGGACTCAGCACCTCCCTCTGGACTTCCAGTTTCACAAGGACAGAACAAAACAGTCTGTAGTAGGAAGAACAAATATCTAGGGATTGTAATATTTTGTCCTTTGAAAACTCATGAGAAACCTAGAAGCAGGAGAATAATTAAACAGAATCCATATAGAGAAGCTGAAAGATTGCTCATCTGTTTTTACTCTTTCTTTTCTTTAAAAAAAAAAAATTTTCTCTTTTACCCATTCAGGCAAAGTGATTGGAAAGAATGGGAAAGTGATCCAGGAGATTGTGGATAAATCTGGTGTGGTGAGGGTTCGAGTAGAAGGTGATAATGACAAGAAGAATCCCAGGGAGGAGGTATGGGGCAACTATGCCTAGAGATGGGTTTCCAGAAGTCTGTGGGATTGTTCTCAAAGCCATTCTTTGGGGGCTGGGATTTCTAGGGGGTGGAGCACAGTAAGTTTTGTTTCCCCCTAGTAGATGTAAAGCCCAGAAAGATCCCATTTGGGTGGGCTTCCCTAGGAGACAGGATGGGGTTAATACTTAGATTTGACTCTCCTGATCCATCTGTCCTTCCCTCTGCCCTCCAGGGAATGGTTCCCTTTATATTTGTTGGCACCAGAGAGAATATCAGCAATGCTCAGGCTCTGCTGGAATATCACCTCTCCTACCTGCAGGTACCCAAGCCGGAAGCCTGGGAGAGATGTGGGTGTAGCAAGGGGATTAAGACTGCTCCTAACTTTATTAGGAATTGTGGTACCCAGTTTGTCTCTGAGCAGAAGAGCCCCTGGGTGGAAATTTGGGGCTGGGGAGTTGGATCTCAGAATTTTCCTTGGTTAGCCAGTCTGTCTCCTTACATTCCTGAGAATTTAGATATGTAGGGTGGAGAAGCATGAAAGCAGGAGACTGTTCATTGATCTTATACTTCTTCCTCCATCTTCTACCCGACCAGGAGGTGGAGCAGCTTCGCTTGGAGAGGCTGCAAATTGATGAACAGCTTCGGCAGATTGGGCTGGGCTTTCGCCCTCCTGGGAGTGGGCGGGGCAGCGGTGGCAGTGACAAGGCTGGATATACCACTGATGAGAGCTCCTCCTCCTCCCTCCACACCACACGAACCTATGGGGGCAGCTATGGGGGCCGGGGCCGGGGCCGGAGGACAGGCGGTCCTGCCTATGGTGAGACAGCTATGGGAAAGGGAGGCGAGCACTGATAGGATTTGTGGGCAGAGGCAGAGGTCTGGGTAGAAGCTTTGAGGAAAGAGTGATGGCTGGGGGACCTGTGGGTGAGAAGGGGTAGTCTTCAGTTTGGGGGCTGTGATGGATCCTGGGGTGGGGTGAGTGACCCTGATTGAACCCCATTATGTTCTTCAGGCCCCAGCTCAGACCCATCCACAGCTTCTGAGACTGAGTCAGAGAAGAGAGAGGAGCCCAACCGAGCTGGGCCTGGTGACCGGGATCCCCCATCCCGGGTGGAAGAAAGCCGGAGGAGGCCTACTGGGGGTCGGGGTAGGGGACCCCCACCTGCCCCCCGGCCCACCTCGAGATACAGCTCGTCATCTATTAGCTCAGGTACCCGTACCAGACAGCTGGGCTCATGAATGTGGGCCAAAAGGAAACATGAAGGACTCCTGACTCCCAACTCCTCTTCTCTAACTAGTGCTGAAGGATCCAGACAGTAATCCCTACAGCCTACTGGACACATCTGAACCAGAGCCCCCAGTTGATTCAGAGCCTGGGGAACCCCCCCCAGCAAGTGCCAGGCGCCGTCGCTCTCGTCGCCGCCGCACTGACGAAGACAGAACTGTCATGGATGGAGGCCTGGAATCTGATGGGCCCAGCATGACAGAGAATGGCCTGGGTAAGGGGTGTGCCTGGTGTCTAAAATATTAGACTCAGCTCTACTATTTAGCAATATTACATATTGCAAGGAATTGAGGGATAGGACATGGGATGCATGACTCTCATTTTTCCCTGCCCCACAGAAGATGAGTCAAGACCCCAGCGTCGTAATCGGAGCCGCCGCCGTCGTAACCGTGGTAACCGGACTGATGGTTCTATCAGTGGAGACCGTCAGCCAGGTCAGCTAACACTGGATGCAGCATCCTTCCTCAGCTGAGAGAATGGATGCCTCCTAACCTGTGAAAACCAGGATTGGGGTTCAGTGAATTTCTAGGGGCTGGACACCTGGGTTCCTTCTGAAACTCTTGATCCTCTGCCTTCCCCAGTGACTGTGGCTGACTATATCTCCCGAGCAGAGTCTCAAAGCCGCCAGCGGCCACCTCTGGAACGCACTAAACCCTCAGAGGATTCTCTTTCAGGACAGAAGGTAGGCAGGCAAGACGTAGTTGACTCCACCTCCTTTTTTATTCTTCTGGGGTGGGGGGGCACAAGAAAATTCCCAAAGAAATCTCTTACTAAATTGCAGAGGAGGCTATGTCTGATGGAGTTTAGACTGTATTTAGAATAGTGGAAAGTTTAAATAGAAGAGAGGAAAGTTTGGTTCATATTTTCTGGATCCCAGTAAGAGTGACTAGAGACATCAGGGGACCAACCCTAAGGTCACCACATGCCAGGAGGGCTCGGGTGGTAGGGAATGTCATTACCTGAATTTCTACTGACTGCTTTCTTTTCCTTCCTCTTCCTTTTCTTTCCCACTTTCCTCTCAGGGTGACTCTGTCAGCAAGCTTCCTAAGGGCCCCTCAGAGAATGGGGAGCTCTCTGCCCCCCTGGAGTTGGGTAGTTTGGTGAATGGGGTTTCATAAAACCTCCAGCCCGCATCCCTCCCTTCTCCGTCTCGCTTGCTGCCCAACACCATGGCCCTCACAGGCCCGACTGACCTGCGCTGGAGCTGCTCTTATCTAGGGGGGTGGGGGGTGGCACAGCAGCTTGGGTCCCCCCCAACCTCCAGGAGCTAGTGGAGGGGTGTGTAACAGGGTCATACCCCCCTCCCTCTTGTCCACCCTACCCCCAGGGTGAGGGGAGCCTCTCTCCTTCCCCATCAGACTGGATGTGCCTTTATCCTCTAATGCCCCAATCTCTCTCTGAACACCCCCATTCTCCACCTGTTGGTGCGGGGTGCTCCTTGACCCACCCAGATTTGACAGTTCAGGGGGGCTCCCCTGCTATCCCTCCTCCCATCCTGTACCCCCCATTTCTGGGGCCTCATCACTGTGGAAGACGGGGATAGTAAGGATATAAGTGGGTGGGAGGCATGGGGAAGGTTTTGGAGTAGAACCAGGGGTGTATATGAAGGGGGGTGACAAGGTCCCCCAGGGGAGGGGGGACCAACCTTGTCTGGTGGATGAGAAGGCGTATTTATTTTTCACTGTACAGTATTTAAAAAGAGAATAAAAAAAAACCCAAATGGCACTCTGGTTCCTGTGCCTCCCTTGTGCCCAGTTTGGCCCATCTGTCTCTCTAGGACTGCTCTGCCCTGGCCCCTGGCCCTTGTTTCCTGTCCACACCTGGCTTCTCTGGTGTTCCAAAGATGGTCTATTTGTGGGAATTCCTGACATTCCTAAGTTCCCTAGGCCCAGGTACCCTCCTGGTCCAGAGGAGTGGCTTGTCTTGCTGCTGCTCCCCTCCCCCAGGTTCACTGGTAGAGGGAGCTAGGCCACTCCTATACCCTGAGTCACAGCGGGCTAGTAGGGCTGCTCACGAAGCTGGAGCTGTTCTAAAACCTGAGAGCCAAGGCAGGCTGCTTAATCGGATTACCTGAGGCCTGAAGCTTGGGCTGGGCCTTGGGCAGAGTGAGGAGCAGGGTGCCCTCACAACAGCTGGGACCTAGGTGTCGAGCCCTTTTACCTCCTGGTTCTCTGCTCTGGATCCAGGCTTTTTCTCCAGCATCCACATCACTGACCTTTCAGCCCCAGGGAGTTGTTCTGGAGTTCCTGGCTCCCTGTCTCCTGACTTGAGGTTTGGAGATAAAATGTACCATAATCCAGTGGTTCAGTGGTGGTGGAGAAACCTAGGTTTAGGGGCTAGAGTTGGGAGGGTTTCAGTTTTCTCACCTGGAGAGAGAGTTTGAATCACCACCCAAGCACCTGCTGGGATGACTCAGGAAACAAAAATGGCCTACCTCTCAGACTGCCTGACTTTCTTGCCCCAGGGGCTGGTTGGGGGTTTGAGGAGCAATAGGCACAAGAAAAGGGTGGTGGGGTGACGAGTGGGGGGGTGGGGTGAGTCCAAGTTCCTCCTAGCACAGCTCTGACCCTGAGAGCTTTTGATCACCCTGTGCTTGATCCCATCGTGCAAAGGAATTGACTTTAAATTACCAAAGCTTAAGAAGGGAGGGGAAGATGTTCTCAGCTACTGGGGCTGGAAGGCCTGACATCTGGGTGTTGGGTGGGGAGGGGGCGTGGTGCCCTGAGGAGGTGTGTTGGGGGCTGGGAAGAACAGGACACCTGGGTTTGCCTAAGGGAGGGGTGATGTTGGTGCCCTTAAGGAGGCGCGGTCTGCTGGGAGGGAATGGGGAGGAGTCAGTCGTTAAAAGCTGTTCCTGGGTTTGGCTGAGCCACCAGACACAGACACAGGCCAGGTGAGAGGGCTGTGGCACCTGGGCTGCGCCGCCTGGCAGCTACGGAACTGCAGAGACCCAGAGTGAAGGTTTACTGCTTCCACCAAAGGTCGGCCGGAGGCCAGGAGCGGGTAGGGGAGTGGGACTGGGTCGGGTACCTCCAGGCAACAAGAAAAGGAGAGTACAACCTGTCCAATACCAGGTACCAGACGGGATTTCGCACTCCCCAAAGCCAGCCAAATTGGTTGGGAGCAGGGGCTCCATTAGGACTCTGAACTTCGGGACGATATATACTTTTTAAGGACACGAGTTTCTCTGGAACAATTCCAGACCAAGAAGACACTTCCATTTTAAGGATACCGGGTTTGGGGATCAACGTTTCACTTTGGAGGGGAGCGCGTGTGGGACACCCTCTTAAGGCTTTCTCCAAACCGCCATGGCGCTACCTGGCTCCTCACAGGACCAGGCCTGGAGCTTGGAACCTTCCACTCCCACAGCCCCTAGCTCCTCGTCCTCGGGCTCCCAGGAGCGGGAGAGCGCTGGCAGCCCAGTGGTCTCCGGGGGGCTTCCCTTGGAGAAGGTGAAGCGGCCCATGAACGCGTTCATGGTGTGGAGCTCCGCTCAGCGCCGCCAGATGGCGCAGCAGAACCCAAAGATGCACAACTCTGAGATCTCCAAGCGCCTAGGCGCGCAGTGGAAGCTGCTGGGCGAGGACGAGAAGCGGCCCTTCGTTGAAGAGGCTAAGCGGCTCCGGGCCCGGCACTTGCGCGACTACCCCGACTATAAGTATCGGCCTCGGCGCAAGACTAAGAGCTCAGGCGCCAGGCCGCCCCACTTTGGACAGGGAAGCAGCAGCGTAGCTGGCGGCGCACCAGTCTGGGGGTCCGTGTACACGACTACCCAGGGGAGCAGAGGCTTTGGGTACCAGCCCCCCAACTACTCGACAGCCTACCTGCCTGGCAGTTACGGGTGAGTGCCTGGGTAGCGGGGTGAGGAAGGAAACGCTTGTGCCCCCTTCCTGGAGCCTGGTGGGGGCAGATACAAGAGGACCTGGCTGGGGGGGGGTGCCCTAAGCCCAGCCAAGCAGAGGCCATTCGGGATGGGGGTAGTTGGGGGCTATTGCTGAGGTTTGCGCGGCACCACCCCAGTGCCCAGTGAGGGTGGGGGTGGGAGTTCTAGCGGCCCAGGGTTTTCCTAAAGGACGTTTCCATCGCAGTGTGGCAGTGGTGGCCCTGCAGGGGCAGACCACAGGCCCCTGGACGTGACTACGTTCCTTCTAGTTACCTGAATTTCCCATTTCCCCTGCTTCTGGCCCTCTTGTGACCCGGCTTCCTCTCCCAGCCCCCGGGGCAAGGAGAGGCCAAGCCCAACTCTGCCCCTTCCTGGCCTGCCGCCCCAAGAGGAAAACAGGCACTGCACGCAAGCCCGCTCTTGAACGTGCCCCAACATGGCTGCGCTGCTCTCTAAGCCATCCTGAGGTCTGGTTCCGGACCTGCGGTACCCAGGGGGGCCTGGATAGCAGGGATGGGTAGGTGGGTAACAAGCTCTACCTCTGACCAGAACTGGTCAGACCCACCCCGACATGCGAGTTAGGAACTCTGCTTGACACCTCCAACCCAGGGAAGTGCTAACCCCTGTGTTTTCTCTTTGCAGCTCTTCCCACTGTAAACCAGAGGCCCCCTCGCCATGCTCCCTCCCTCCGAATAACCCCAGGATCCAAGGGGAGCTGCTCCCCCCCTATAGCCCCTACCTACCCCCAGGCTCTCCCACTTCGTACAACCCTCCCCTTTCAGGGGCCCCCATGCCCTTAACCCACCTCTAACCCTCATGGACATGGACCTGCCAGGAAGGGTTCCAGCCTCCTTTTTCACCCAGAAACACCCCCCACCCCCCATTCCCAGGCTGTAAACTCTTCTTTAGAACTGTGATGGACCACAGTTCAGAGAAGGCCTGCAGTCCCCCCACCACGAAAGCCAGGGGAAGCAACACTACACTTATATTTTTTTGTAGGACAAACACAGTTTTGTACGATTGGACCATGTCTCTGTGTCTTTATTGCCCCATTTCTGTTCCCCTCACTGCAGCAGGAACCAGCGCGCTCTCCACTCCCTTCCGCCTGGACCTGCCAGAGCAGGAACCTCCACCCCACCCCGGGGCCCTGCCTGAGTCATTCTCCGTCCCCCTTCCCCCACCCAGCACTGGGGTCCAGGAGTCAGTCCCAGCCAGGCTGAGGGAGGGAGAAGCCACAAGCCCCTTAGTCTCTTCCACTGTCCAGGGTCTGTCCTGTAGGGCCAGAAGGAAAGTGAGAAGACAGGAGAACAGGGCAAGACTTGCCCAGAATAGGTAAGTAGCTGAAAATTGCTGCTAAAGGAAAAATCTCAGCCAAATGATTAGGTGAATTAATAGTACATGCACAGGACAGCACAAAATAAATCAAAATATTACCCTGAAAATCTCTACCCCCATCCTTCCTAATGAACAAACCCTGATCCAAGAGGTTGCAATTGGCAGAAGAATGGCAGATGATTAAAAGTCACACCAGCACACTGGTTCAGATGGGAGGACCCTGAGGTTGGATGGATGAATAGAAACATGGAATGGACTCTCGTAGCCAGCTCAGCCCTATTCCTTTTTCGTGTGGGGAGCCTTTGCATTCCAGTAGAAGAGGAGCTGGGCAACAATGAGGCCGTTGAAGAGGGCAGCGACAACAAAGGTTCCAGCCATGAGAGGATCTCCAGTTTCCTGGATGTGAGAGACAGAGCTAGGGTCACTCTTAAAAAAGAAAAAAAAAAAAAAGGTTCCAGAGAAGGGACAGCTTTAAAGTCTCAGCTGGGAAAGATAAGACGAGGTTTTAGTGCCCTCTAGAGGGGAGAAGGTGCACTCACCTGAATGGAGGTGAAGATTCTGGCCAGGGAGCCCCCAAAGAGCAGAAAGACTGTGACAGCTGAGAGCTGGCCTGTGTGCCCGTTGCGGTAGTTGGTGACTGCCTGGAGCAGCTAGGGGAGGAGTTGAGACCCTTTGTTCTGTCATCTGAAGTCTTCCCATGTTCCCATCACAGATTTCCCCATTCCTTTCAGTACGACACCCCCACACTTTGAGCTTCTACTCTGCCCCTCACCCAGCCCCCCTCCTAACATCCTTCCCCTTGTTCCCAGTACTCACCTTTCCCACCACCACAGCAGGCACATTGGAGGCCTGGAGCAGGGTGACTACAGCCAGGGGAGTCAGTGGTGAAAGCAGCACCAGCAGGACCAGGGCGTAGCAGGCCAGGAAAGCAACACCTAGGAGTCAGGGAAGCAAGGAGTCCTCCTCAACCTCTCAAGTCCTCTGGCTTCCCCAGGCCTGAGTTCCCAGCAGGGCTCCCAAGAGCCGCAGCCTGCTCTTAGGTAAGTCCCCAGCACCTTTCACAGTTTGTCCTCTGTAGTGCAGGATCAGGAAGCAGATGGTGATGGTCTGGAGCATCAGGAACAGGGCTTCACCCCAAGAGCTGCAGAGTCAAGAGTTGGGAGGAAGAAAGGCGGGCCTGGAAAGAGGCAAGGAAAGCCTCCATAGCCCGTCCATCTGGGACACAATTCCCTGATTATTCCCTGTCTTCCACAGCCCTACGGGTTCCTCACCTGCATCCCAGCAGCCCCCACCTGACTGACTCAGTCTGGATCCTGGGCATTCTTGGGATGCTCACCTCCTCTCATCTCCACAGATGATGACTAAATTTCCACAAGAGCTTAAGCCTTCCTGCCCTTTTACCTCCCTCACCCCAACCTCCACTAGAGCTGTGAGCATTTACCATTGGAGATAAAGGGCAGGCCCCTCACCTGAAAGGGAAGTTGTTGGTGATGCTGTAGACCATGGTCCCAGTCAATGCCACTAGCTCCAGCATTACTGACTGGAGACTCAATCCTTCTGCGCTCTTGGCTCCCAGGATTTTAAACACCTGGGGCAGTTTTACTGGAGAAAGGATGAGAGGGGCAGGGTTGAGGAGCTGACATTCCATGGCAGTGCAACACAACAACTACACAGCAGACTGGGGAGCATGTTAACCCCACTTCTGGTTAAGGGACCCACCCAGTTTATGGCATCTTAGCACTCCACCCCCATGGCAACAGCAGGAAAGGAAGATAAGATACACACCCAGAAGTGATCCAGCCACAAGGCTCAGCCCCAGGACTTTGCTGAGGAGAATCTTGAGGCAGGGGACTGAGAAGAGAAAAAGGGGTAAGCAGAGATGAGAACTCTGGAATCCAGGCCAGGGCTTTCAGGAGCAGCACAGGCCTAAAGGCTTTAAGTGCTCCTGTGGGTGGCCGCTGCTGTTAAGACCTTGAGACCACACAAGGAAGCCTTGGGTTGTCTGGAAGCAGGTGAAAAAGTCCTGATCCTTCCCGCTCCAAATCCTACCACATTCAAACCAGGTGACTTTCCCAAACAGCTCTGACCATTCCTTTCCTCTGAGCCATTCTTAATTCCCTGTAGATTACATCTAAAACAGCTTGGTCGGACTTCCAAGGCTCTCTATTGCATCCCTGTATAAAGCTGAGCAATGCCCAAAAGCCCTTGGATGCTTTATTCCCCTCCACTGAGCAACTAGGCGATCCACTTCACCTGTCTTCTCTTCCCAAGGACAGGTCTCACTCATTCCTGGACCCTCTGTCCCTGGTCCCACTCAGGAACTTAACCCTATCCTAGGGCTTGCTCTTCTGCCCTGGCCATCCATAGCTACGCTAGCCTCGAAGCCCTCCCCACAAGGAGCTTGGCCCGGTGGGATACCATGAACTGACAGGGGCAGACTGGGAAGGCTTCCCAAAGGATCTGATGTCTGAGGTGGGCTTTGCTGTGGAGTTGCCTCGTAGACAGACAGAGGAAGGAAGTTAAGTTATTCCAAAATTAGACTGTGAGCAAATATGTAGGCTGGAAGGAACGTCAACAAGACGGCAGAAGCCTCTGGGCTGAAGGCCTGGATTCGTCAGAGGCTTTTAATCAAGTGTTACCTTGTTCCTAAAGGTACGGCGGCCTATTAAAGGTTGGAACGATTTGATCAGATTTTAACTTTGTTTTGTAAAATTTGAGTCTTTTCGTCTTTCACTATCGCTAAAGCTTAAACTTCCCAAAGAAAGTACTTCCAACCGGCAACTCCCGCTCTTGCCCAAATATGGCGTCCTCCCTCTATGGAAACCAAGACACTCTCCTCCCTCTCAGATGTGACTTCCGCACAGCACAGAGTGGCAGCAGTCGCCGTCGTCACTTAATCCTCGGTCATGCCCCACTGACAGCCCAAGGGCACTCGAGCAGAACCTTGCACGGATGCCGAGTACAACTTACCGTGAAGCAAGTCCCACTGGACAAAAATTTGGTCGTAGCATTTCTCAGGTAAAAGAAGCGGCACCAACAGCCGCTTAAGCGCCCCGTCTGCCTCGGCCGCCATATTGCAAAGCTTACTTCCGCCAGTCTCTCCAAACGTCCACTGACTGACAATGCGCATGCGCGCTCTGGGTACGCTTTCTCTTTCTTCCCGCGACTCCGCGGGACAGCGCCCTGTGTTCCGCCTTTTCTTACGCCACCCCACCTTCAGTAGCGTAAGATGGGTCTCGTCCAGAGACCACATTTTGGGCGCGCCCTCCCTGCTGTTCGAATTTTACAGCGTGCCAAGGCTGTACGCCTGCGCAGTTCGGTTTTTCGCGCCTTTATTTACGCTTCCACTTCGGAAGCAAGATTTATCCTCCTGCCTTTCTCAGCTGCTTCGGCTCGGCGCCATCTTGTCTTCTCCCAGCTGACTTTACGTTGTTCGAAGTTGAGAGAGAAGGAGCGTGAGTCTCCAAAATGGCGTTGGGTGGGGGCGCTGTAGCTCTGTATCTTCTCTTCTCCTAGCGTCTTCGGAGGGAAGGGCGCCAGCGGGAGCGGGACAGTCTGCACGGGGCAGCTCTCCATGGGCACCGGCTCGCGCAGGACCCATGCTTCCCCCTCCTCTGGTTCGCCCAGGCCTTGGCGGATGGGTGTGCCGGCGGCTGCCCGGCCGGGACAGTGAAGCAGAAGAGGAGGAGGAGGGGAGGGCGAGCCCAGTTCCAGGAGAAACTCCAGCCCCCTGCGGGCCCCAGCGCCTAAGCCACCACCGCAGGCCCAGGCCTGGCAGCCTCCGTGAAGCACAGGGCCCCGGTTTCCTCCCACCCCGCTGCCCCCAGGGCACCACCTCTAGGCCAAGTCCCGTTCCTCCGCCTTCCGTGACCATGTGCTGAGCAAGGACTTAAGCAAGGCCGAGTGGGCGCAGCACCTCGGCTTGGGAAAGGGCAGCTTGGACTACCAGGCGGGAGCGATGCCCTTAGCCACCTGCTGCTGGGACACGAACTCTCGGCCATCCCAGTGGAGGGGGGCCTGGCCATCACGCTGTGTTGGCCAGGCGTCTGCTGCGAGTACCACATTTTTGAGCAGCTCCTCAGTGACTCTCACCACCGTCTGCAAGGTCATACAGGATGTCCGTGACGCGGTAGTTGGGCTGCTGGGGCCCTGCTACTTGCGGGCTGCCCTCAGTGGGGTGGGTCTTCAGGTCCTGGTGGCTGCTTTCTGTCACCTTACAGGGTTCCTACAACTGGAAAGGCCCCATTCTGGCCCCCAGCCATTGCACCAAGGCCTACTGTAAAGGGGGGACTGGCACTCAGTGGTAGTGCAGGCTGTGGCTGGCTGGGAGGCCCTTTCTAGAATCTGAACATTGGCTGCCACCCACCACCACTAGCTACACCACCACTGGGGACTTAAGGGTTGGCTGTACGGTGGCCCAGGCTGGAGCCATGTTTTCCTAGGAGCACCGAGGGTAACTGTACGTGAAGGTCAGAGTACCTACTGCTTCCATGGTTGATGAAACCCTTTGCAAATGAGACAGGAGCATCCCAGATGCACTGAGGGTTTAATCAGGCTGTTCAGCTAGCCCTGGACACGGTGGGCAGGGAATTCTTGTGCTAAAGAGCCACAGGCGCAGCCTTTGGAGACAAAATGACACAGACTTGACTTTTCCCCACTCACTCATTGCTAGTGCTGCTTCCATCACCTGTCTATGAGGGTCGGGAAGAAGACTGTTGGGCTCCACCAGATTGGAGGGGAGGGGGATCTGGAGCAGCCAGGGGCCCCAGAGAAGAGGAGAAAGGGAGGGGAGGCAGATTCAACACCAGTTGTGCCAGGCTTTGGGAGATGAACCCATGAAGGCATTTGGTCACACATGGGCATTTTCATCCCTCCTCACCAGCTGTTTCGGGCTCCCTGAGACACAACCATGAAAAGCACAGGAAGACATGTGACAAAAAACTCACGGCTTTTAATTCTGGCAGGAAGGACAAGGGAAATCAGGGACAAAGATTTGAATAGGTTTTACCATTCTCCTACTGGGGATGGGGGAGGGGGCAACCTGCTGCATTTAATAAACATCTCTCCCCTCATCCCTGCTGATTGCATTCTCTCTACTTTTGTTCTTCAGGACAGAGAGGGAAGGAAGATAATTTGGTCTCTGAGTCGGCCGAGTAGTGAGAAATGAGGGCACCCCCTGGTGCCCTGGGAGTTGGGATAAACGCTCAGAGTGGCTGGTAGGTGGGTGGGCGTCTCCGGATGACACAGAAGGTAATGAGGACCAGGGCGAAGAGGCCGAGGAGGATCAGGCCGATGATGAGAGGCAGCAAGATGGACTGGTCACTGGGACAAGAGAAACCTGGCAGAAAGATAGGGCAAGTAGGCATCACAGTGGTGGTGGCTGGGATAAAGGTGGGAGGAGGGAGGAAGGAATGTGGGGGACATTGGGAAGTAGGAGATTGGTGAGGATCTTGCCTAGGATGACTCAGCAATAAATAAAAGGGGAGAGTATAGGCAGTCTTGTAGAGGGGGAGAGGACAGTGCCCTATGGTCATAACAGCCTGAGAGAGGGAGGAAATTTTGGGGTATAAGAAGGGAGATTCTAGACCTGGGGCGAGGGGCTTTCAGTGCAGTGGGAGAGTTCTAGGAAGGAATAGGTCTTACTTGGCCCAAAGGCTCCTGTGGGGGTCAGCTGAGCAGCTTGTAGCTTCAGGGAGAGCAGGTCAAGGTGGAAAGCTGGTGAAAGAGCGATGCTTGCGTTTCTGCAACTGAATCTCTGGCCTAGGGGGGCTTGGAGATCTCGAAGGGATGAATTCTGAACCAAGAATGTCCACTCTAAAAGAGAGAGGAAGGGTCAGCTCCATATCCATGTCCCATCCCCCTAGCTTAGATCCCTTTGGACGCCCGGACATCTAGTGCAAGTGATGAGAAACGGAAGGTCACTCACGCGCTGCCTGTGGGAAGGACACGTTGTACTCCACAGCGATATAGTTCAGGTAGACAGTGCTCTGCAGTGGCTCCTGGGGAGGTGACCAGGAAGGCTCAGGGCAGCAGGGGAGAGTGGCATCCATGTACACAGAGTAAGGAGTGCAGCAAGGGATTGGTTGGGATAGGGCGCTTGGAGGCCAAGAATGAGGGATGAGGGTGAAGTACCTGCTTGAATCCAAAGCTGAGCTGTCCGTAGGGGAATGAGAGAAGTAAGTGGGGATGGGCACAGCCCCCCTGGGCCTTGGTTTTGTTGGGGTTCAGTACAGAGATGCCCCAGGCCTGCAGAGGTTAAAGATGAGACAGTCACAAGACTACCCAGCCATGCCGCCCAAGGTTCCCTGTTCCCTTCATGTCCACCCTTCTTCTTTTTTCCCTTCTAAACCACAGCAGAAGGCCTCACCCCCTTCCCCTCATGACCTCCAGTCTTGGCTTTACCTTTCCTCCACCCAGGGTTGGGTACAGAACTCGAATCTGAATCTGGGCTTGGAGCCGGACGCAGGGCTGGGAACCATTAGTCCAAATGTAATCTCCTATAGCCTCCTTGGAGCCTGGACTAGGACTTGGAGAGGGCGGAGGTGGTCTTGGGTGGGGGGAACTGCTGGCTGATCCTGGGCTGGTGACAGTACTGTTGCTTGTCGTTGGATGAACTGTGGTGTTTCCATGACTGGTGGTGGTAGGATTGTGAGTGGCTGTTGTGGGGTGGTCGCTGGTGGTGCCTGTGGTGGTGGTTCTGTGGCTCTGGGTAGTTTGGTGGCTCGTTGTTCCAGGGCTTGCTGTGCTTTCTGTAGCTGTAGGGGTCACCGTGAAGGATGGCAGCAGAGTGGCTGATTTTTTATGAGGACAGTCATTCCCTGTCTCCTGGGCTTTCAGCGGAGGAAAGACTGGTTAGCAACCTAGGGTTAGGCTCCTTCCCAGGGGCTCCCTCCCCTCCAGTCCCCTTTCTCCTTACCTGCTAGTAGCCCCAGCAAGGCCCCTGAGAAAAGCACAGCCAGCCTCATGACAGACCAGCCTCACCCAAAGTTCAGCTAGGCTCGTCTCAGTACCAGCTGCTCGCTCAGTCAACCCTACTCTCCCCCTTTGGGAAAGGAGGAAATGAAAGTCTTCGACTTGAGATAATCCCACCCCCAACCTGACTCATGCACCTCACCCCCAGCCACCAATCTCTTAGTCATTAAATTTTTAAGTTAGATGATTGGCCCTGGCTTCTCAAAATGGGAGCCGTCAGGGTCAAGAATGTCACGTGGGCAGAATGAGATGGGGTCTTAAGGCAGTTGACCCTTGGGGACCCATTTGTCTACCTTAGCAAAATACGCTTACAGTTGTGGCAAGAGATTACAGAACAAATTGAGAAACAGGAGGCCCTCCCTTAGTGGTCTCCAGAGAAAAGTTCCATAGGATGTAAAATTAGAACTTCTTTCCACTCCCTTTTCCCCTCCCCATATATCACTTCCTCTTCGCTGAGACACGTGAAGCACTTATGATGGTGCTTGCCCAATCCCTTGCAGAAGGGTCACGTTATCCAGTCAACATGACCATCTTCTGGTCAACTCTTAGGTGGTAACAAAAAAAGCAACCCAACACAAAACTAAGTATTAGCTGAAAAGGGGAGCAGAGATGTACCCAATAGCAGGTGGGAGGGAAGGGGAGGTAAGAAATGAAAAGCCCAAAACAGGCAGTTTGCAAGTCATTTTATTCAGAATTTTGTGTTTGTTTCCTGAATCAATAAATACTATACAAAACAATGTAAAAATGGCTACCATTTTCTCTCCCCTGCTCCCCCCACCTGGGACAATCCCCTGGGCCACCTAACTCAGGGGTTCTCCCTCCAGATTTGGTCCAGCAAATGAGGTTGAGTGACATTATAGCCCCTTGAATTGTTTTCAGAGGAATTCAGCTGGGGTGGGGAGAGCCTCTGGGGTTTGGAGGTTGACTAGGTTAGGGAAATGGATTAGTGTTTTTGGGAGAAGAGACGACGCCTGGGGCAAGAGCCTACCCCAAAGAAAAGGGTGTCTAAAATGTTCACGGTTCCTTCTTTTGCCTCAAAAAGTGACATTTATTCAAAGAAAAAAAAAAAAGAAAAAAAATGACAAGATGTCCATCCCTTGGCTCCCTTCCCTCCCCCCTTCTGCTCCTCCTCAGCCCCCCAAGGATTGAACCCTGGCTGGGGCTAGGTAACAGGACAGCCCCTCTCAAATGAGGTCAGCAACATTGAGGGGCATCTCCTCAATGGAGGTGTTGTAGAAGGTCTCGATGTCTCGAAGAGTCCTCTTGTCTTCTTCTGTTACCATGTTAATAGCCACACCCTTACGGCCAAAACGTCCACCACGACCAATTCTGGAAAGCAAGGAAAGTGAGGATAAGGAGAATGGGGAAAGTCAGAAGCTTCAGCCTAGGGAGGCCTGGGCATGAGGTGGGTGAGTATTCCAGATCAACACTTACCTATGGATATAGTTTTCCCTGTTGGTGGGAAGGTCATAGTTGATGACTAAAGAAACCTGCTGCACATCAATGCCTCTGGCCTACGTCAAAAAAGACGACAACTTCAGCATGTGAACGAGAAGAGAACACAATATATCCAGAAGAGACATGTATATATGTAGGCAGCCAAAGGAAGGCAAAGGAAATAAACATCCCCTCTCCCCCGAAAACCTGAGGCATGCCAGATTTTATTCCAAGTTGCTACTTTCCTGAAAAAGGGCATTAGTAGGCCCCTTGGAAGAGGGAATCACCTTGGATTCTCCTTTCTTCCTTCCCAATCTCCTCCAAATTCCCCTCTACTCACCAGCAGGTCAGTGGTAATTAATACTCTGCTAGAGCCAGAGCGGAACTCCCTCATGATTACATCTCGTTCCTTTTGGTCCATATCTCCATGCTAGAACAGGAGATAGAAGGGTGTGAAGAGGTAGGCACTTCGGTTCTGAGAGAACTGGCTCTAAGTGGGACACTGATACACACTGCTGATAACAAGGTAGGGCAAACTCACCATGGCAGAGACAGTGAAGTCTCGGGCATGCATCTTCTCAGTGAGCCAATCAACCTTCCTTCGGGTGTTGATGAAGATGACTGCCTGGGTGATGGTCAGGGTTTCATACAAGTCACACAATGTGTCCAGCTTCCATTCCTGGGGATGGGGAGTGGGGGTGGGGGGAGAAAAAAAAATCAGTCAGGGGCTATACCCAACAACTTAATACCAGGCCCGCCTCCTGCACTAGGCCCCACCTCTCGTTCCACATTGATGTAGAATTGGCGGATACCCTCCAGGGTCAACTCTTCCTTCTTAACAAGAATCCGAATGGGGTCCCTCATGAACTTCTTGGTCACCTCAAGCACATCAGAAGGCATTGTTGCCGACAGCAGAACCACCTAACAGAAAAAAAGAGCAGCCTTAGAGCAGGGGATAGTCCACAATGCCTGTCCCCTTCCCTAGTACCACCTAAAACAGAAGCCAATGCATAAAAAGGCTTGATGTGAGACTCCAGAATTCTTTTTTTTGTTTTTTAAGATTTTATTTTTCCTTTTTCTCCCCAAAGCTCCCCTATACATAGTTCTGTATTTTTAGTTGTGGGTCCCTGTAGTTGTGGCATGTGGGCGCTGCCTCACCATGGCCCAATGAGTGGTGCCACGTCAGGGCCCAAGGATCTGAACCAGCAAAACCCTGGGCTGATGAAGTGGAGCGCGTGAACTGAACCGCTCAGCCACGGGGCCGGCCCCGAGACTCCAGAATTCTTTTTTGGTTCCTCTGGCACCTGATATTGCTGTTCCCTTACCTCAATCACACCACAATCTATAAAGAGATCATCAACTACACAAGCAAGACTATACATGTCTGTTTTTCCCACCTGGGTGTTGCTGTTGAGCTTTTGGAATATGTCATAGATCTGGTCCTTGAATCCACGGCTGAGCATTTCATCAGCTTCATCCAGTACAAACATCTTTATGTATTTGGGAGCTACAGGAGAGAAAAAATACCAACAGGTAGCAACTAGGGAAATGTAAAAGACACTTAACTTTCCCTATAAAGAAAAGGGGAGGGACAGGTGGTCTGCTCTCAGAATACAAAGACTGATCCTTTGCCCAGGAGCCCCCTGCCAGGCCAGACAACAGCCCTGGGAAGTAGAACACTACCTGGGCTGAGAAGACAGGGAAGCCAGGCTCAGATGACACGCATGGGGTTCATCACAGAGCAACTCTTTCAGAGAGGAAAACTAGCATCATTGGGAATGAGAGTGTGGCCAAGTTCAAAGACTGGGAAAGCACAAAGAAGAGGGAAATGGCCCAGAAGACGAGAAAATTGATACTTACACAGGTATCTCCGGTTAAGCATATCAAACACACGGCCTGGGGTACCCACGATGATATGGGGAGCTTCCATCTGCAGTTTCTGCACCTCGGCACGCACGTTGGTACCCCCAATGCAGGCGTGGCAGGAAGCACCCATGTAGTCTCCTAATGCCATAACTACTTTTTGTATCTGAACCCAGAAAAACACAAGTACTCACATATTAGCTACAACTGTGCCAGGCCCCATTTTGAATGTTTCTTATCTATTTATCCTTTCTAACAACTGAGACATTCACCATTAATAAATATGCTTTTAAGGCAAGAAACAAAGGCAGGTTAAATAATCCATTTGAGATAACATGGCCAGTAAAAGTGGCAAAGACTCACGATTTGAATTCTGTTTGTCTCCTGAGTATACAGATACACAGTAACAGCCCTCTAAAACAACTTTAATATAATATAGCTTCTTTCCATAGTACACCTCCTAATTTCTGAAAGCCAACTGTAGCTCATGTGTTCACTCTTAAAAGCATGTTTTAGACAGCAGAGCCCTAAGATAGACTTCTACTAAGACCACTTGCTTAAATTATCTTTGTCCAAAAGTTTAGCACAGGATGTTTAAAAAAATACATTCCTCGAGTCTCAATAATCTACTTATGAGACCAGTATTTCTGATCCTTTCCCCTCCAAGACCCAGGAACAGTCCAGCATGAGGATCTTCTGTGCCCTAGGCATGAAACAGCTCTGGCCACCAACCCAGGCATCAAGCTAGGATGAACAAAGGACTGTACAACTATTTTGCCCCTGACTGATATAAGAGCAACACCACCAATCAGGTGTCTCTTTGCCCATTGCCAGGGAGTTTGTTCATAAAAGAGCCACCAAACTTGCCCAGCCAGCCAGGCTCCACCCAGCAGCCTTCCCATTTGACTCAGGAAATGGGTGGAGGAAGTGATGCTAATTGTGTTTGGGTAGAAAAAAGCTTATAATTAACCTAAGAAGTCTTGAGAAACCTGAAAGTCAGCTACCAATTTCCTTTCTTTACTTCAGATCATCTTTTCCCCCCCCCCACCTACCCCATACTTCAGTTCTTCCAAGATGGTTGGGAAGCATAACTCTAGTTTTTTATTGTGCTAACCATTTCTAAATTGGTTCTTCAGCCGAGGAAAAAGAAGCTACGCTCTCACCTGCTGAGCCAACTCTCTAGTGGGAGCCAGAACCAAGGCCTGGGTGGCCTTGAGATCCAATTCAATCTGTTGCAGAATTGATATGGCAAAAGTGGCCGTTTTCCCAGTCCCAGATTGGGCTTGAGCGATCACATCGTAACCTAAACAGAGAAATTAGGACAGAAATTTGATATGGCAAAGAGCATACACTTTGCGATCATGAAACATCAAGGCCCTGGTCAAGAAGCAACCAATAGAGCTATGTGCTAAACATAAAGAGCTTCACAGACACCTTATCACAAAGTACCCAAGTGGGAACAGATCTGGAAGCCAGGTCCAGTTATTAACTCTTTTAGTACAGCATAAAACTAAGCTAGAAATAGCTATAAAAAGGAAGTATGAGATGGCTGAAACACTACCTTATTGAAATTCAACCAGCAATCCATGTGTCCAGGGCATGAACCAGGCATGGGCACAGACCAAAAGCCAAGCTGGGATGAACAAGGAGCTGCTTTGTCCCTGGCTGATATGAGACAGGCACCACCAACCAGGTGCCACTCTACCCAGGTCAGGGACAGTCCAGAACTTGTTCTGGAGCAGAGGAATCTTACCCTTGATACAAGGAAGAATGGCTCGCTGCTGGATGGCAGAGGGCTTCTCGAAACCATAGGCGTAGATGCCACGGAGGAGGGACTCCGAGAGGTTCATGTCATCAAAGCTGTCAACAATCTCATTCCAGTTACTCTGAAGGATGCAAACAAATTCACGTAGTAGAAGAGGGGAGGGTATGCTCTAGTGCTGGAGCAAACAGGATGCCTGCCTGCAGCACCAAAGCTTCAGAGCCCACCTTTCCTCCCTCCAGGGAAGCCAGCTGGTTCTACATGGTCTGAGAAAGCACTCTAAGGAGCCAGTCCACTTGTAAACTGTGAGGCTGGAAGTTGTAGAAGGGACGACTGGACTCAATTTGAATGCCATGTTTCATAGATCTTCTCAGGGATATGTTTTTAACAAATCACTGTAGTTAAGACTTCCTGTGGAGGAGAACTTAACCACTTGGGAGTTAGGCTATGTATTAAAGATGAATCCTGGGTGCCGGTTTTAATCAAATCTTAACTCACTGAACCACCACTCCACAAACCAGGAAACACTGCTAGTGACACTGCCTTTCCCAGAGATGAAGGGCACTGGTGATAAGAGTCCAATCTCACCTCGATGACGCCTTCGGGCTCCATCCCGTCGGGGCCATTGTCTCTGGATCTGTTGGTTTAAAGTATGAGTACGCCGACTAAGGCACGTTAGAAATCCTGACAGCCAGCTTCTGTCTACTAGCAACCGGCCTTTCCTGATGCCATCAGCCTTTTCACTCCCTGACCCAACCCCCGTCAATTCCCAGTAAACACAGTAGTTACCTTACAATTGAGTCAGTCCTTTGCCCCATCCTAGGAGCGGCTCAGGCCAGGCCGCCCCGGACATGATGGGGTAACCCTCCTAGACGACCCGGAGGCCAGAAGGAGCGGCTCTCTGCTTACGGGGCCCGGAGGTGGTGCCCGCCGCCGGACCCACGTGTCCCGGGCCTGGCTGCCCCAAGCCCAAGCGCGTGCACCTCCCATCGCGGCCCCAGCGCGCCGGAAGTCCCGCCCTTCACCTCCCAGATCCGAGGGTAGGACATCCCCTTCCCCCCCACGTCATTTCTCCCGCGCCCTCCCCCACTCCCTCCAGCCCATCTCCCCCCCTCGCGGTGCCCGGATGTGGGAGGCCGCGGGCGGTGGCGGCCTCGCGCACAATGAGCCCCAGCCGAGCTAGCAAAGGGGGAGATTGCACAACACTTAGAAGCGAAGCGGACTGGGGGAGGGGAACACCTCGGGCCGCCATGTGCTCGCTCCCTCGACCACCCAGCGGCATCTCCCCCCCGGCTTGGAACAATCCACATCCCGCCCGCCCCCGTCGCGAAATGGCGTCGCCCTCCCGTACCTCAGGCCGCTCACCCCCGAAGGAAAGTGGACCTGCCCATCCGCAGTTTGCCAATTGCCCGGCTTGTGCGGCAAAATGGACCCGCCCGCCCGGCGCCGGGTGGGCTCCTGGTGCCTCACGCGGCCGCTCCTCGGGGTTAGGCTCAGTCCTGGCCGTCAAGAAAACCAGCACACTAAACGGCCGGCTTCTTCTCCCCGACCCACACCTCAACGCAACGAGGCGACTGGATTTGAGGACCCAGACACCCCCGCCTGTAGCGAGTGGTACTGTCAGAATCCTCCGGCACCCGAGCGCGCGCGAGCCCTCCCTCCGGCAGTGAGGCAGCCGGACCTGCCGGTTCGGGGCCACGCGCGGTGGCGGCCGGCTCTACCTTTCCCACGCTAGGCTGCGACCGCGTCTTGCCACTCAGCGCCAGGGCTCCGCGCACGGCAGCGCGTCGGGTCGAGGGTTCCTAGTGATCCTCGTACGCTAGGGCCCGAAAGGCGGGCTGTCCTGGCCCCCTGCCCAAGCCCCAGTGGCAGCGCCGGCCGTGGATCTGCCCCTCACTCCCCCAGTACGGGTCCTCCCGCTTGGCCTCCCCGCATCCCTGGTGGGCCTCAGCTCCCCCCGGCGGGGCCCTCGGAAGGGAGCGGCAAGGGTAAGTAGCCACAATCTCTTGCAAATGCCTTTCTTACCGGGAATCCTGACTCGCAGACATGATCCTTAGAAACTAGGGCGGAGTGCCCGCCTATCGACGACTTATAGAGCGCCCGACCCCGCCCCAGCCATCGCATTGGCCCGGTCGCTTCGGCCCCGCCTGCTCGCGCTCAGCAACTCTGAGTGACGTCCGTTCGTAGACGCTCCGGCACGCAGCCACCATTGGATAACTTGAACACCTATCAAGGTGAAGGCCCGCCCCGCGGCCTCATTGGCTAAAGGGCCCGCCTTTCTCGCCGGTACGGAAGTGACATACAGGAGTCAGGCCTCGAGGCCTGGCAGCCATCTTGGGGCCCTGCACCTCTACACGTGCGGAGGCGATAGGGCCTTAGTCATGTGGCCTAGTAGGCCCTATCGCGTAAGGGGGGCGAGGTTTTAGCCTCCAGGGACTTCCGGGCTCCCGGGACTACCACTTCCCTTTACATCTGCTCGTTTCCACTGGACACACGTTTTATTTTGTTCTCTTCTGCTTCAAAGATAGCTCAGACGCCACCCCGCCGTGCTCCAAGTATACCAAGGACGATGGAATCAGGAGCCATATCCTAGTGGCTGGGGGAGTGCCCCTGACTGGAGGGAGGAGGGATGGATAACCGATTTCTGGGCTTAAGGGCATTTGAGGTTGCTGTTATGAATCCTGGCCGAATTCCTTAAGTATCCCTATTCCCCAGTTTTAGCATCTCTCAATCTCCCGTATTTTTGAGGCTTACCAAAACTCTCCCCTCTTCCAGCCCTGCTCCCCAGGCCGGGGGATTCTTTTGGGTGATGAAGACATAGTGTTGGCACCATCTGAGGCAGGGATGGAAACGTGGCCTTTGAAATCATGAGACCCAAAAAAGGGTCTCTACCAGCACTGGCTAGAGGAAAGCCTGAGAAAGAGCATATCCACTAGTATGAGGCCCCTTAAGGAAGACCACCACTATGTATCTCCAAAGGATCCTTTATTGACCAGAGCAGGACCGTGGCATTTATATATATATATATAAAAAAAAGTTTGAAGATCTGGCAGGCAGTAATCCCTTTGCCCGCCCACCACCCCCAGCACAGATTTTCCTGTCCCCCTCTGCACATGGAAGGAGGATGACTGCCCCACCCAGGCCACAAGGCCTTACTCCCCTGCAGACTGAGGGAAAAAGGGGCTTTTCCATGGCCACCCCCTGAACATCAGAAATCAACAAGTATTCTCTCAAAGAAAAAAAAATTACAGAAATCAATTAAAACATTTAAATATGAAAAACCAAAGGGAACTGGGTGGGAAGAGGCAAGAGAGGAAAGGAACTGGAGTTTCTTGGGAAGGAAGGGTCTCCCATGTCCCCCTGCCCATTCATTAATGGGCTTGAGGTCTGGGATACGAGGCTCACACAGTGAGTTTGCAGTGACACAGCTCCTTGTAGATCTGTCGACGAAGTTTGGGCATGTCCTGCTGGGTGAAGCTGAATGGCTGAGACAGGGCCAGGTGCTTGCAGTACTAGGTGTTAACAAAGCAAGCCATGAGAACCACCTACTGAGCATCCCCCTGAGTCAAAACCTGTGCTACCCATTTCATGAGATATGTCTCACTGGATCTTTCAGAGAACACTCCCACTTCACAAACAAAGGGAGCCAAGGTCCCATAGCCTGGGGCTCCAAAATAGTCTGACTCTAAAGCCAGTAATCTTATTAGGTACATGAAATACTTGGTTAAGAGGGAGCAAATACTTTGGGTTGGGGGGGGCGGCGATCAGGCAACTATATCAGGGCCAGAGACCAAGGACCAAAGACCCAGTGCCAGTGTGGGATGGGGAAGCCAGGAGAGGACCAATGAAATCAGAGTTTCTGCTTTTTCACACAAGGTTACTCCCACTCCATAAGTGGCTGTGAACCAAATGAGGAAGGCAGAACAGCCTCCAGCCTCCCTCACAACCCTTTTAACCCAACTGACATCTTACCTGCAACACAAAGGCGCCACAGTCACTGTCATTATTCTGCCTGGCCACATTCTAGAGAATAAAAAGGTAGGCCCTTCACCTGGAGACTCCTAAGGATGTGGCTTCAACTTCTGCCTCCTACCACCTCCCCCCACCCCCTACCCCTCCCTCTGGAAACTCACCATTTTGAAGTAACCTTTCCAGCCGTGGTGGAAATCTAGCCTGTCTTTCTTCACTGCCTCTGCCTGTAGATACTTGGCTATATGCTATGTGGGTGGAGGAAAAGAAGAAGTGATGCTTAACAGAACCCAGGGTGTGGTGGTCACAGGCACTATGACCAGGTTGCTCCTCAGAGACCCAAAATCCACCCTCTTCCTGCCTGGAATGTCTTGCCCCTCCTCCCCACATTCTGCCTGTTTTTCCCCTTCCCTCTCAAACCTTAGGGCAGCGGCGGTTTAGGGTGCGCTGCGAGTCAAAATAGGTGATGGTGCGTCGCCTCACATCAACAGAGATGAGGGACCAGTGCACCTCCAGGTGGATGGGGATTAGCAGTAGCTCCTTATTGAAGATGTCCACCTGAGGAGGCAGTGCCAGAGGTAAGGTAAGATAGCACAGGAGTCCTGCCTAGTGCCATGAGGGTTCTAAAAAGGAATGGAAGAGCAGGCAAGGAGCCAAGTGGGAGAACACAAGACCTGGGCCTTAGATTGTGAGGCAAGGCTTGGCGTCTGGATGTCTAGATTCTCAGGGTAAGGAAGGCAGGCAGGACAGAGGAAGTGGTGTCAGAACAAACACTTGAGAGCCCAGGATGGACCATACAGTTTTCACACATTAAAGGTAGAAGCACTTAGTAGCTAAAACCCAGGCTCAGGATTTCTGAGGCCAGAATGCCAGGGTTCAATCCGGCTCCTCCATTTACTAACTTATAACCATGGGCAAGCTACTTAATGACTTTCTATACCTCAGTTTCCTTATCTGTAAGAGAGTAAAAACAGTACCTACCGTCATCCATTTGCTTTATAAGGATTACACTAGTTAATATCCATAATACACTTAGAACAACGCATGGCACCTGGTAAATGCTCTATCAGTTAATGCTCACAACAAACATATGGGGAAGTTTTCCTGTTCAACCTAATGAGGAGGAAAATGCAGCTTGGAAAAGTAAAGTAACTTGCCCGAGGTCATAGAAGTTAAAAACGGCAGAGATGGGATTTGAACACAGGTATATGGAAGGCCAAATTCTTTTCACTGTGTGTCACCCCACCTCTACTTGGAGAAGCAGGCCTGCCAGGTCCCTGAGGGTGTAAGCTCTTGAATCTGGGAACGGAAATTAAGAAATGCTGGAGCTGGGGCCAGCCTGGTTGCATAGTGATTAAGTTCATGCACTCTGCTTCGGAGGGCCAGGGTTTGCCAGTTAGGAACTTGGGCGCAGACCTACACACTGCTCAAGCCATGCTGTGGTGGCATCCCATATAGAAGGACTTACAACTATGATATACAACTATGTATATCAAAAGAGGGAAATTGGCAACAGATGTTAGCTTAGGGCCAATCTTCCTCACCAAAAAAAAAGAAAGAAAGAAAGAGAGAAAAAAATGCTGGAGCCAATGGTCCTACCCCACTGTAGAAATTTCCTGGCCTTTGAATTGGAAGGCAGGGAAACTAGAGATGAAAAGATCTCTGTTTTTCCTTACCAGGTCTGCATCTCCTTGCCTCCCCACCCCATTTTTCCCAGTAACTTAGGCCAAAAACCTAGATATCATCCCTGATTCCTACCTTTCCTACACTTCCCACATCCAATCTGTCAGGAAAGTCCTATTGGTTCCACCTGCAAAACTTATCCTAGGTAAAACTACTTCTATTTCTGCCTTTACTACTCTGGTCCACATTTCTCATGTGGACTTCTGTGCTATACTCCCAGTTAGTCTGCCTGCTTCTACTCTTGCCCCCCTTCCAATCTCTCACTGAAACAGGAGTTTAAAACATGAGGCACTTCCCAGCCTGCTTAAAACTCTTCAATGGCTTCTCAGTACATGTAGAATAAGATCTACCTTCTTTAGCCTATCCTCTATTCCTACAAGACTCCTCTCTAACCAAATTTTCTATCATTTTCCCTTTACTCACTCTGCTCTAACCACAAAAGCCATCCACACGGGCCCTCTGTTACTTAAACATGTTCTTTCTCCCTTTTCATCCCACCAACTTTCTGTTTCCTTCACCTAGAATACTCTTCCCCCAGATCTGCATATGGCTGGCTCCTCATCATTCAAGTCTCAGCTCAGAGGCCTTCCCAGATCACCCAAAGTACTCACTTATGCTACTACATTGCTCTGTTTTAATTTGTTCACAGCACTTATCACTAGCTGAAATTTACCTTGCTTTATTTCTTCTCACCCTATAAAGGCAAGAACTTTTCCCCTTTTTAGGGGAGGAGGGGTGAGGAAGACTGGCCCTGAGCCAACATCTGTCATCAATCTTCCTCTATTTTGTACGTGGGACGCTGCCACAGCATGGTTTGACAAGCAGTGTGTAGGTCTGCACCAGAGATCCGAACCCATGAACCCCAGGCTGCCAAAGCAGAGCATGCAAACTTAACTGCTACGCCACTAGGCCAGCCCTGAAGTTTTCCTTACTTAATACTGTAGCTTTAATGCCTACAACGGTACCTAGCACACAAAAGACATTTAATAAATATTTGAAAGACTGAATAAACAGGGTTGGGAAAAGGGCTCATAGAAAACAGAACTCTAATTCTTTCGGGATAAGGTATTGCACAAGTAGATGTGAATTCATAACTCACGTTTTTGGTCCACCTTTTCACCCCATCATAACCCTTGGTACGGAGTTTATCATAGAAGAAACTGTTGAAGAAATGCACCTGTGCAATGATACAAAAGAGCTGGATGGAATTAAAAGACCTCAGGCCCTCTTCCTAAGTCTGCCCTTCCCAGTCCACTCCATTTTATTATGGCTCTAAGGACTGGTTTCAACAATCTCTACTCCAATTGACTAAGGGTAAAAAACCAAATTGTTTTTAATCTTATCTTACAGCTTCCCATCCCAATTTGTGGAATTAGCCATAGGGGAAAAACATTAAAGACTGGGGGAAAGGAATAGAACTGATAAGTTCAGGACTAAAATTACAGATTTAAATTTAACAAGATTACCTTCCACCACCTCTCCCCCAAGAACAGAGACCCTCTTTTATGTAAAATGGAGATGAAAGGGACTGAAAAAGCTGCTTGGAACTGTGGAAGTTCTTCTGGGGACTGAAGTAACTGATTAGGCCTACCTTTTCAGGGACTGTGTCCATGACCAGGTCTCCATACATGTTCATTACCTGGGTGGGAGATGGGAGGCAACTTGCCATGGAGGGTGCAGCATGGGTACAGGGCTCCCCCATGCAGAGGGCCCCAGACACCCAGCTCCCTGAATCCCCTCTCGGGCCTGTTTCTCTCCTCCTCTTTACCTGGTCATTGAGCCAGTTCTGTCCATACAAGGTCCCCAAGTCATCCATGGTCAGCACGTGCCGCTTATAGGCCACTCGGAAGCCCCTCACCATGGCATTGCCTGGCATCCGCTGGTATGACTGGATCAGCTGCAGCACCAGGCCCTTCCTGAGTAGGCCAAGGGTGGAGTCACACAAGAGACGAGGGGGCTAGGGCACACAGAAGTACCTTCTACTGCCTAGAATAAGAGTCTATAAACTGACCCCACCCTCCCCCGTTTTTTTGTTCATGGATCCTTCTGAGAACCTGCCAAGGGCCTACTCCCCTGAAAGAGACACCTGAATACTCAGGTATACGTAGTCTTTCAGGGCCCCAAGTAAAGACACTCCCAGCCAGCTTACAGGGGTTTGGCACTGTGCCTACAGATTCCTCCTCTTCAGCTCTAGCTTTCTACTTCTCCCCAAGTAGATCCCCATGGAAGAAAAGGCAGCAGCATTCTCTCCCCATCCCCCAGGTCCCAGCCCTCTTCTGAAGGGCATCTCTTTCATGCCTTACCTGGAAGGTGTAGAAAACTCCTGCTGGAAAATGTCCTCCAGTTTCTCTACTACCTCATCAGTACTGAGGGGGATGAGGCTGCCATAAGTTTGAAGGAATTCATCCAAGATGCCTGAGTGGAGGAGGGAGACAGGAGTTGGGTGAGGCCTCTAGACTCTGATCTAGGAGTTGGCTGAGAGAAAGAGACTAGGTCCTCTAGGGTTCCTTACTCTGCACGCAGGTCACATGCTCCTCCCGAAGAGGGCTGTGCTGGCCAGCTTTCTCCCCGGGCCGCTCTGCCTCTTCTGCAGTGCCCAAATCTGAGCCCTGAAAAAGCTCCTGGGCCACATGGTCCCCGATGCTGCACACATTGCTGATGAGGATGCTGGCATCAGGGGGTGCCAGACTTCGCTCCCCTTCTGGCCCAGGTGGTCCCCCAAAACCATTGGGCAGAGCACAGGAGAGGAGGCCTGTTTCAGGCAGAGGAAAAAGGATGGGGATGAGATATTGGCCCAAAGGAGAATAGGAAGATTAAACGATGTACACAAATTATAAGACCACAAGAAGAGTGAATTGAAGCAAAATCTACCAATATAAACTCTAAGGAATGGAGACCCTAAAGCATGAGACAGGCATGTCCAAGAAGTTATAAAGGGACAGAGAGGGAGAGTTGCTACTCACAGACAGGAAGAAAGCAAGAAAAGATTAGGATTCAGAGAGATTTGAACTTCAGAGATATTTGACACTACTATCTGCCCGGCACCTAGCATAGCACCCAGCACATAGCAAAGACTCAACAAATACTTAAATAATTCATAAAGACAGAGAAAGGCTGAAATTGTTTGGTTGGGGTTCTTCAAAAGAAAAATATTCTGAGCGTGAATGTCACACACAACTGTACAGGTGATGTACTCTACTATTCAGAGAGCGTCCCTCCCACCATTATGAAAATAGCACCCTCTGCAGATGTACATGCAGGGGTCCTTATCCTGAGAGGCCCAAGGAAGAGAGATTTCAAGTGGACAAGACTGTCTGACTTTCCTAAACCATGTCCACCTTTCTCACCCATGCACAGGACACCTAGTTAGGGATTCTGTATTCCAGCATCAACTACGTCCCCAAACTTAGTTCCTGCTCAAAGTGGGGCTTAAGACATTTCACAGCTATTCTGGACGCTCTCATTCTGCCATTCTACTTTCCTCAGGCCCAGGTCTCACCACAGCAACAGGATCTTAGACCTCCCTACTCCTTCCTCTGCCCCATTCCAACCTTACCTGAGTCAGAGTCCAGAGGAGACTTTGGAGTCCACCTTAATCCATCTTCCTCCATAGTGGGCCCAGAGGGCACTGGTGGAGACCTTCTCACCCCATCTTCAGCCATGAGAGCACCTAGCAGACCCAGCCGGGGTGGAGGTGGGCCCCGGGGGGAGTCAAAACGACAGCAGGGGGATGGCACCTGTGGTGTCGCACCACCTTCCTGGGGTGAAAGATGGTTCTTGGGCTGTGTGAGGCTCCGCCGCCGGCCCCGGTGGCGCCCCCAAAGCTTCCAGTGGAATGTCAGCGAGGTGCTTTTAGAGTAGAGCAGCATCCGGAAGGCTCTCATAGCTCTGCGGCGGCGCTGTGAGCAGGTTTTTCGATGAGTGGGGCGGGGAGGACGAGGCCGCTGGGAGGCTCCCAGCTGACCCCATCTGGGGGGCAGCCTCCAAGCTGCCACTTCCTCTTCCTCATCTTCATCTTCATCCTCTTCTTCTTCCTCCTCTTCACTAGCTGAGGCATCAAAAGAGGGCCGAGGGACAGAGAGGCGTCTGGCTGGCACTGTGGTCCCTGACCCAGGATCTGGCCCAAACCCTCCACCTGATTTGAGTCGGGGTTTGGGGGGTGCGGGCCAACGAAGACGCTCCCGCCTGGGACTTGAGTAAGCTTGGGCTATGCCGGGTCCAGGAGGCTCAGGCCCCCAAGACCCGGTCCCTTGTATAGTCTCTTTCATCTTCCAGTAAGCTGTAAAACAAAGGTTAAGAGTGTCAGAACCCAAACATCCTGTACTCCAGATCCTGCCTCTCTTCCTCAGCATCCTCCTGTGGAATCAGTGGCAAATAAACTAAGGAAAGAGGGAAAAATGCAAAATTCCTAACTTTAGATCTTCCCACTTAACATGGTCCACAAGGAGCCCTTTAGAGTCTGCTATCATCTCTGCCCCGCCAGACAGAGGCAAGGCAGAGTGGCTAAGCAGCAGGCCTGGAGGATCTTATTTCTCAGATCTCCAAGTCAAACCCGGTATTTTCAGCCTCTCTTTCTCTATTTTAACACCACCAGAGTGTCCTGAAACCCTAATAAGGGAGATAGCTCAGCACGGGAATCATGACATGGTAGAGATACCTGAAGAGAACACCACTTCCACAGGGAAACCGTGGTCTAGAGCGGCAAGAGAGTTCTCTATCAGCCTGGAATGAATGGGGGGTGTGGGCATGCTCGGCTTGTCTCAAGAGGGAATGCGGATGGCAGAACTATGGCTCAGACAGTAGGATCTTATGAAAAGGAAAGATTTTAAAGGAAACTGAAAGAACCGAATCGGTGCTTAGGCAGCCGAATCAAGGTGTTGAGACAGAAATGAGCCGCGCGAGCCAGGCTGGCCCACCCCTTCTCCTGCTCTGTCCCCGGGGACCGGAATGCGTCCCAGCACCGGTACGGTCCTACAGGCTCGGACGGCTCTGCGCACAAGGGCCTTAAGAAGCCCCTTCGAGGGCCTCCCGGGCCCCGGTTAGGGGGGAATGAGGTCCAGGAACGGAAGAGGCAGCGACAGGGTTGGGGGGAGGGGGGAAGGGGCGTCCTCACCGGGAGCGGGGAAGCCGGGCGGACGGGCCCGAGGGCGGGCGTCTCCGGCCTCAGGCTTCCCGGCTCATCTCTCTGGCGACGGCGGCGGCCCCGCCAGTCCTGCTGTCTTCAGGCGCAGCCGTCTCAATTCAGGATTCCAACGCTTCTGGGCCGCGCGCCGCCGAGCCGCCCCGCCGGGCCGCCTCTCGCTCGGCTTCAGCCTCCACCTCCACCACCTCCCCCTTCTCCTCCTCCTTCCCCTCCCGCGAGCCCCAGGCCCACCGGCGGCGGCGGCGCACGATTAGTACGTCACACCCGGCGAACAGCGCCGGCGCGGCCACCACGCGCCTAGACCCGCCTACCCGCAAACGTAGATGCCGCGGGACCGTCCCGCCCCCGAGCCCGCGCAGAGCTGCGCCTGCGCACACCAGCTGACCTCGGCTGCGCGCTGTGGCCGCGCCTTTTGCCCTTTTGCGCCTGCGTGTCCCGGGCCGCTTCACGCCTCACTGCGTAGCCCTGCCTTCTTCGCCGTCTAGGGGCCGGAGACCGGGGCCCGATACCTTGGTCAGGCGGGGCCCACCAAAGGAGAGCCGGGAGGGCAGGGAGATTCTCGGTACAGGGATGGGGCTGAGGCAAGGCAGTGGGGGAAATGGATGCGAGGTATCATTTATTTTCTTTTATTTAACTTTAAGCAGGGCTTGAGCAGAAAGAAGAGCTCAGAGGAGTGAGGCAAGACCAGCATCAGGGCGTTCGATTCATCCAAAGCTCCCCGGTTACCCGTCCCAGCCCAGAAGGGCTTGGAGTGGCCTGCCACTCCAGGGCAATGGAGAGCATGAAAGGCAAAACTTGGGACCCGAAGAGTAATGTGGCTGCAAAGGGGCCGTCGTCGTCGGGCACCCCGATCAGATGGGCGCATAATAAATACACCTCTGGAGATAGTGATGGAAACTGAGGCCCAGTAGATGGAGAGAAGGAAGTGAGGATGAGGCTTCCTGTGGGGCGATGACGCAGAGGGTACCTGGAGAGGTTTGGCATAGGGAACGTTTTCCTGAGTGGAGGGAGGCTTCATGGACTTCTGCCAACAGGCGGGATGATTCTCTCAAACTGCCGCTAGATGGTGGTGCTGTTCTGGAAGCATTCCAGTGGGACCCAGAGCAGGTCTAGACAATGCTTGGCATTCCCTCCCCCCTCCATTCCCCTTAAGAATTTGAGGCTGGATGGGCGATAAAAGCAAAATATTCTACTACTTTAACATCCATAAAATCAAAGGCTAGGGGGTGTGGGTGGAAAGGGAAAGGAGGAAAGTCATGAGCTGTCCAACCCAAAGTTCCAGTCAAACTCAGAAGAGGCTTCTGTTCCTGCCCATTTCCTGTCCTTTGTCTAGTCAGCTCTTGGCTGTCTCCAATATGTACCCACCCTGGTTTTCCAAGCTCAGAACCATCTTTTGTAACACAATCACAGTTTCACAAACCCCAGGAAGGTTCCATGTGGAGAGAGGCTAAGTTTCGCCCTTGCCCGGGGGATTAAGACACTCAGAATATCTCCTTGGTGTAAATGGAAGACACCTGAGGAAAGGAAGAAACTCTGCTCAGTGAAGAACAGTCATGCAGATACTCTGATGTTACACCCTCCCTTCTCCAGCTCAACCTTCTTTTCTGCTTCCTATAGGGACTTAGGTATTCTGTCCTTCATTCCTCAGCTCTGCCTCAACACCCAGGCTTCCAACCCCCTGTTGTAGCTCCCTCACCACTGCCCCCAGGTCAGAGATGTCCTGGTCTTCTCACGGCCGCCCTCCACTGCCCACACGGCTCTCACCTGCACTGTAGCAGCTATTGTAGGCCCAGTCCGGGTTGGAGGGCATACTTCTTATACATCGGAATAGAGTCTCTTGCCTTCCCTGGCCCTCCCGAGACACCACCTGACCCATGGTGAAAGTCACATCATGAAACAGGACCTGGCAGGGAAGGGAGGAGATGTTGAAGAAAATAGGATGGCATGGCTCAGTTCTGGATGGCCTCAGGAGCCCTGTCGAGGGAGCCAAGGAATGAAGAAGGGTCTTCTAAGTTCAGTGTGCTCAGGGGTTGGGAACCCTCAGTACTGGGGCATACAGGCTCTGGGAGAACAAGACTCCAGGCCCCCAGGTGAGGCTCAAGGTGTGTTTGGGGTTACCTGGCTGTACAGCAGATAAACTCCAGCATCCCAGACTCGAACAACATATCCTTGGGCCTCCAGGCCTCTCCCACGCCTTAGAGCTGGTTGCCACATCACCTCTGTCACATCAGAGTCCTCTGGAGGTGAGGAGTATGGTAGTCAGGATTTCTGTGCACTCTCAAGACACTTTTCACCTCTAAGATTCTCTTGGGCCCAGGTGCCAGCCCCACAGTTCCCGGATCTTGCCCCGCCCAAAAAGCCATTATATAAAATAGTGCTCACCTTTGGAGGTGATGTTAATGGGAACAAGGTGCAGAACTGAGTGCTTTTCTGAGGAGAGAAGGAGAAAATCTCAGCAGTGCCCACTACTCCAGTTGCCCTGTTGCCAGCCCTCCACCCCCACCCTGACTCTGGGTATCAATCTCCAAATCCCCATGCATCTTGATCACCTCCCACCCCTGCGGCACCCCAGAGGCCTCACTCTTCTGTTTATGGGTGAGCACTGCTCTCCTTCTCCGGGATCTCTCCCCATTCTCCCGGGCTTCTAGGGCCTCAGGGCTCTGCTCAGGGAAAGAAGGTCAGGGTTAGACTAAGATGCAAGGGTCCCAGACAGCCTTTCTCCCCAGCCCTCCCCCGCCCCAGGAATGCCTCACATCTCATGCACCTTTCCCCAGCAAGCTGAGTCTTGGTGCTGGCTGTCCTCCAGGATCTGTTAGGTACAAGAAGCATTAATCTTTAACAGTTTCCTTTCCTGGAATGGCTGCTCCCTTGACCTCCAAACCTGGGACCCTCTCTTGCACCCAGTCGAAACTTTACAGATCAGGAGGCTGGAACTGAGGCCCACAGATGGCCCTGCCACCCATCTTTCTCTCCCAGGCACCCTTCTCCCCTCACTCACCTGCTCCCGGAGGCTCAGCCATGGATACCCTTCCCCCTTCTCGGAGGGCCCTCCAGTCCTCTGCAGCCGGGTCACCTCTCTCCTTAGGGTTTGCAGCTCTGTTTGTTGGGTCAGCAGAGCCATGGCACAAGCCACAGCCCCCAGAGCTGCCCCCCAACTCAACCAGAGGGCAACTGAGAGTGCCGGCTCTCGGACCGGGCCCCCCATGTCTCCCCGGGGCCCTTTGGGGGCTAGCAAGGAAGGAGATGAAGCTGGCATGAGCTGGGGACCCTGCCAACAGCTGTGGTCTCAGGAGTGGGGTGGCAAGGAGGTGGCGGAGAGGGTGGGGGTGCAGGCGGTGGTGCAGAAGGGAAGAAGGGCGTTACGCAAGGGAGAAATAAAAAGGAACTTGAGAATAAAAAGGAGGGAGGAGGAAAGCAAGCTCGGGGCACTGTTGGTGCTCCTGGCACCCCGCTGTGGGGCCAGTGTTGTCTTGAGACCCCTCACCCTCCTCCAGCCTCAGGAGAATTTGGTGTCAGTCTCTCTAGGAAGGACGGGGCTGCCAGTGACACCCAGGAGGAGCGGCCAGAGCACAGGAACCCTGGGGCGGCCCCAGAAGTGGGGGAGGGAAGGTTGGCTGGCTGTGGGGCATGGTGCCAGGAGCAGGGATGGAGGGACAAGCTGGGCAGCTTTGAGGGTCAAGTGGTGAGGGTGGAAGACCCTCTGGCTCAGGCATGGGAGAGATCTCTGGGGAAGTTTGCTAGGAATGACTGAAAGTGGGGAAGGAGGGAGGGGGTCGGTGGGAGGAGAACCAGGGTCGCGGAAGCAAGAAACTGGCTGAGTTCTGGGGTTAAGGCCAGGCCGGGTGTGTTGGAATAAGGCCTGCACTACTCCCTGTGCTGAACTTGGCAAGCAGGACTTCCTGTTTCCCGAGAAAAGCTCTTACATAAGGCTCTGGACAAAGAGAGAAAGAGACAGCCCCAAGCACCCTACCACTGTAGGATTCCTCCCCTGGACCCAGGGGCCCAGAGTCCAGTGTTCCTGGGCCCCAGCGTCCTGCATATGGACCCTGAGCCCCCTTCCAGGCCTGCTCCCACCCCACATCCCAGCCAGGGCTTGTGCCAGCACCTGCTGAATGTCCCGAGGCTGCCAAGAGGAAGGGCCCCTGATCCTCCCAGCCAGGGATTCCCCGCAGGAGGAAGCCCGCCTCCTAGGTAAATGAGGTTGCTCTGCTGGACCTTGTGCAGAGGATTGATTTTTTTCCTGGCAGTTTGCCTTTCCACTCTCTGCTCATGCCTCGGGGGTTGGAAGCATGTCGGTCCCCACTCCCAAGCCTGTACATCACCCTGGAATTCCAAGTGTCCTGCCCCCCACTCCCCAATGCCCAGATCCCCTTCCCATGGCCCTCGGCTACACTGAGAATGTCCCCTAAGCCCCAATAAAGAGAGAGGCCATGACTTATTCTCTTTAATATCCACTTATCAACATTTTGTCACAATAATAATAAAAATAATATCTGTTTTAAAAATCCACAGGGAATTAGGGGAGGAGCTTGTCTTGGTCTCTGACCCCTCACGCTCGGGAACTCCTGGCCTAGTCCCAGTCTCTCTGGCATCCAGCCCCTCTTTGTGCCTGAAGAGGGGTATTCAGGACCCATCCTCACCCAGAGTACAGTATACACAGTGTCCTGGGGGGCTGTGGCCAGGGTGGGGAGCCAGGAGATAAATGGGGGCATCAAAAGATCAGGGGTTTGAGAGCTAGAGAGGTGGAGACCCAGAAGTGGGGGAGCTGTCAGAGTCGAACGGGAGTATTTATGTGGTGTGGAGAACACGTGAAGCCCTGGCAGCCTACAGAGGGAGGGGCAGGTCTGGGGGGAGGAGCAGCTTAGGGTGGGGCAGAGGGGACTGGGGTGCTCAGAGAGCTGTTGTGGGGAACTGGCAGCCTGGGAAAACCACCATGAGACCAGGGCCCCTCAGTGAACTTGGAAGAGTCCAAAGTAGGTGAGGAAGGGGGCGGCCTTGAGATGGGCCCAGGGGAGCGTGCGGATCCGCAGGGAGGACCCTGGCCGCAGGGGCAACAGCCCAGACACCTGGCAGAGACGGAGCTGGGGCCCGAGGGAACTAGCTGCCGTGGCTGAGAACTCTTCCAGGCAGCGCAGGGCCAGCGTGTCATCCACCAGCAAGTCCAGCTTCAGGTAGACAGCCTTCCCCTCATCAAAGTGCACCTGGGGGGGCGGGGGAGGGAGGGCAGAGTCCAGGGCTCTGCTTGCCCTCGTTGTCAATTTCACATCTCCTTGGAGACTCAGGTATGCTCTCCAGCCCAAATCCCAAGCTTCCCCCTCCCCACCTTTAGCTTGCCCCCATGCCCTAAACCAAACCCTTCTCCCTCAGTTCCTGCTTTACCCATGGAGCCAGGTGGGGCTTACCTGACAGTACAGGTAGTAGAGCCCAGCCCGGATGACTATGAATTCCCCGCTCTGGCGGTCATAGCGCAGTGGGTTGGAGCTGTTGATTTTGGCCTCCTCCCAGCCACTCACGGTCCCGTCTACACCTGAATGTGAATGTTCAGAGATAGGGGAAAGTCCATTTACAGGACTTCCTTACACTCTCCAGGGATCCACTGAGTTTATAAACCTTTGGGGCCCACTTTGCCCAGAAGATAGATAGATGGCTCAGGGGAAAGGAGGAGCCACTGCCTATGGAGCCCATAGTGTAACAGGAAGTTGCGTGAAGGAATCCAGCATATATGACCAGAACAATACAGAGCAAGCTGTCACCAGTTACTTCTGGGGAGAAGAGTAGGTTTGAAGAAGTGTGGGGGCTTTTATATTTTGGGTCTATATTGTTTGCCTCTTTTACTTTAAGAATGTATATATACAGTGCTTGAATCATACACCTCTTGAATTATTTAAATTAAAAATAGTAAAATGGTACCCAAATGTCCATCAACTGATGAATGGATAAGGAAAACTATGGTATACCCATACAGTGGGATATTATTCAGCCATAAAAAGAAATGCTATGGTGTGGATAAACCTTGAAAACATTATGCTAAGTGAAAGAAACCAGTTACAAAGGACCACATATTATATGATTTCTATGAAATGTCCAAATAAGCAAATAGAGAGAGACAGAGAGTAAATCAGTGGTTGCTTAGGGCTGGGGGGATAGAGGAAATGGGGGTGATGGCTAAAGGGTATAGGGTTTCTTTTTGAGATGATGAAAATGCTCTAAAATTACTGTGGCTGCACAACTCTGTGAATATACTAAAAACCATTTAATTGGACTTTAAATGGGTGAATTATATGGTATATGAAGTATATCTCAATAAAGTCATTACCAAAAAAAAAAAAATCTGGGCTAGGTTAGCTGCGGATTGTAAAGAAGATAAATAGTAAAATGACAGAGCAGGGTATCAAGTGGTTTCCCAGGCCCTCCGTGGGCCACTTGGGTCTACCTCTCCAATTTACTCTCCTCCACGCCTCTCATTCACAAGACTCCAGCGCCCTGGCCTTCTATCTCTTCCTGCCGTGTACCAAGCTCCTTGTCCCTGCAGAGCGTGTGACTGCTCTTCCCGCTTCCCTCTTCCCAGAACACTTGCACCTTCTGTCAGTCAGGTCGCAACTCCTCTGAGACACCTTCCCAGGCCACCCAGTTTAAAATAGCCAGTCCCAGCCCTGCCTCCATTAAGCTCTTCAAGTCACCCTGTTTCTTTCATAGCTGCCACCAACATAGGAAATCATCTTGTTCATTTATGTTTGTGATAGTTTGGGGTCTGACTCCCCTAAGAGGGCAGCGACAGTGCTCGTATTTACCACTGTATCCTAGAGCCTGGGACTGGGCCTGCTCTGAGCGGGTGCCCAGCAAACACTGGTGGGAAGATGAAGGGAATGAGGCGAACATGGCTGACAGCTCTCTTTGTTTGGGTCCATAGGCCTCCCCACCCCCATCCCCATCCCCGGCCTGGGGCCTCACTGGCTTCTTCTCAGTGGCCTGGGCAGCTGCCTTACCCAGTCCCTCACCCTCCACCAGCCCCAAGGCTCTGTTCTTGTTACTTTCTCAAGGAAAACATAAGGCTTGCTGAGCATTTTCATTCCCACCTATGAGTTCCCTCCGCCTTTACCCTGCAGACTCAGATCTGAGCCTCCAGCTCTGAGGTTTCCTGACCCTCCTCTCCCTGCTAACTACTGCCACTGGAATAGCCTTGGGCACCTCAAACTCATCTTGACTAAAACTGAGCTTGGCCCCTCCAACCCCAAACTTGCTTTGCTGTCTGTATTCCACATTTGGCTCCTGGTTCCACCTCCCACCACGTAGCCAAGTCTCCCTCTTCTTTACCAACTTTATTCACCAATCACCAGTTCCTGCAAATTGTGCTACCTAAATAGCTCTGCCTTGTCTCCCTCCCCAGTCTGGCCTCGGCCCCTTCTCACTGGGACTCTTCTTGGCCTCCCTCCCCGTTGGACGTCCTGTTTCCAGTCGTATCTGCTCCAGTCTATTCCCTACACACGGCCACAGAGATGTTTCTAAAATGCAGATGTGAGCCTCAGAGTAACTTCCAGAGTCCATTTGTGACCTGGCTTCCACATTCTTCTCCAGCCTCATGCCCCATCCTGCTCCTCCAGCACTTCCTCCTTCAGCCACACTGAGCCTCTCATGGTCGCCCAGCCTCATCATACTCTTGGCAAACTCGGGGCTTTTGCAAAAGTGGCTCCTTCTACCTAGAACGTCCTTGACCCCTTGTCCATCTTACACTCATGCTTCAAGGCGCACACCTTCGGGGGAAAGGAGTCCCCAACTCCATTGTAAAGTTGTCTTCCTCTATGCCACTGTGTACCTCTGGCTATTTCTATTATTGTTCTTGTCATAGCATAATGTAATTTACAAATTTATATGCTTGTCTCCTCTCCTAGACAGTAATTTCTTGAGAGTAGGTCTGAGTATTATTCGCTGTGGGCACTCAGCCCAGTCCTTACAAATAACAGGTTCTCAGTGCATGTGTGTTGAGTCAATGCATGAATGAATGTCTGGGTGACTGCTAAAATAAGTGGTCCATACAGAGGGGAGGAAGGCTGGTCTGGGGCATGAAGAGGAGAGGAGAGGAAGAGGGAAGGCATTCCTGGCTATGGAACCAGCTTGAGCCAAGGCTGGTTGTGGCCAAAGGGCAGGATGTACCTGGGACCGTGGTGTCACTCAGTTTCACAACCACAAACCTCAAATCGATATTCCTTACTGTGTGGTAATCTTCCTACTTTCCCCCACTAAGCTTGCTTTTGCACTCTCCAAGATAAAGATTTTGTACCATCTCCTCAAACCTCCTGCCCCTGTCTCCCTCGTTCTCTGGAGGACCTAGAAGTCATTAGACAAGGGCTCCCTCATGTCCCCCCACCAAAACTACAAACCGACCTGTTCCCACCTCTCCTTTGATGCTCTTGTTATGATGGGACGATGTGTTCCTCTCTTCATTCTGGGTGTGGCCTTCCTGGGTGTGGCCTTGCAGGTTCCCCCCACCCCTACACCAGCAATCGTCTCTCACACAGACCATGGCCAGTACACAAGGGCACTCTAGCTGGGATCAAATCCCGGCTCCACCACTTAGTATCATCATGACCTCAGACAGTTAAATAACCTCCATCTGTAAAATGGAGATGATCAGAATAGCTTCCTTTTAGGACTGTTGTGAGGATTAGATGAGATCAAACACTCGACAGATGTTAGCTGAGGCTCATGTAGTATTGCTTATCACTCAAAGGACTGAACTTTTCCTTGATCCACATCCCCCTCCACCTACTGGCCCATTTCTCTATTCCTGTCAGAGAAACTTCTGGAAGGGTTTATTACTGTCTCCGATTCCTCTTTCCCATTTTCTCTTAACCCAATCCATGCTGGCTTCCATCCCAACTATGCCACTGAAACTGCCCTTGTCAAGGTCACCAGTTGACTTTAATATGACCAAACCCACCAGTCATTTCTCTGACCTCATCTCATGTGATCTCTCAGCTGCATTCAACACACACAGCCACA